TCTAATAGGGGAACTTCGTGGGGGAGGAGCCTGGTCCCTCACCTAGTTGTTTTGCTGGAGCTGCGTCAGTCTGGCCGTAGGTGGATCCATAGAGTTGGATGTTTTCGCAGCATATACCTCGACAGCTGGAAGGTTAGCATCAGGCACTTACCCTCAGTGACACTGTGAGCCCTGAGTAGATGGCAATTCCTCCACATCGTTCCTAAGCAGTGAGTTTCTTCACTGAAAAAACAACAGAATAACTTTGGAACTAGATAGATCTGGACTTAAACCCTTACAGCTTACTATATAACAGGGCAGGTTTCTTCCCACCCACTCCCTGGCCTTGTTACCTTCTATTTAAAAATAGAGGTAAATAGTGCACCTCCTTCCCAGGTTGCTTAAAAGTCAAGAGAGGGGCTTCCCTGGTGGCGCAGTGGTTGAGAGTCCACCTGCCAATGCAGGGGACACGGGTTCGTGCCCCGGTCCGGGAAGATCCCACATGCCACAGAGCGGCTGGGCCCGTGAGCCATGGCCACTGAGCCTGTGCGTCCGGAGCCTGTGCTCCGCAACGGGAGAGGCCACAACGGTGAGAGGCCCACGTACGGCAAAAAAAAAAAAAAAGTCAGATGAGATTTCATGTATCAAGTGCCTGACACAGAACCTACTGTCCGGAGGTTGAGGGAGAGCTTTGGCCACTGTGTCCTTTTCACCTCAGTTTGTCTATGCTTGTAGTCTCCATTTCCTCATTTTTCCATTTTTATTGGAACCCCTTAATTAAGCTTTTGTAGCCACCACTCAACTAAAAGCCCTTGTCACCGATGACCTTTAAGTTGCTAAGACACATAGTGCCTGTACTGGGCACTCATGTAGTCAACTTTTGTGCAGTGTTCGATACAGATGATCCCTTCATTTCTTGTCACACTTTTTATTTGGGGTAGAAGCCCCTGACCTTCCCTGGTTTTCCTCCAAGTTAACTGGCCATGACTTCAGTGTCCTGAGTTGAATCCCTCATAGCCTCACAAACTAAATATTGACCCAGGTCCCTGTCCTTGGGCCTCTTCTCTTTTCTCTTTACATGAATTCCTGAGTTGATGTCATTCAGTCCTGTGGTTTGAAATATCATTTAACTGCTCATAACTTCCAAATTTATATTCTCAATACTTGTCACTAGAACTCCAGACTTGCATTATCAAACTTGGGTTTCTCAGAGTATCTACTTGAATGTCTTACATGCATCTCCAACTTATGTCCCAAAGCAGAGTCCAGCTTTTCTCCTAAAACTTGCTTCTCCTGCAAGCTCCGTGTGTCTGTCAGTGATATCACCACTTGCCCCATCGCTCGTGTCAGAAACCCTGCCGATGGTTTCGCATTCCACACCCAGCTCATCAGCAGGATATACTTAAGAGTCTAATGGCTTGCCCTGCTGCCCCCAGCACCTCTGGCTCGAGCCACCACCATCTTAGCTCTGCCATCATGACAGCCTCCCAGGTGGTCTCTGTGCTCAGTCTGTTCAGCCTGCAGCCGCCTGGTTAATCAACAGTAATTGACGGCACACTCCAGGTCAGACATCTGCTGGTGGTGGAGCCAGTGCTAAAACTCATACCTCGTCTTCCAGTTATGCCACAGTCCTTATTCCAGATGCATGGAATGTGTCTGGTGAAAAAAACTTCAACTCTATCAAGTTTACAAGCATCTAGAAACATGTGGGCAGATTGTCACCAAATGCTGTGTTGATCAGGTTCAGAGAAGACAAGATAACTGACATCTCTCCCTCTTGCTCCATGGTGGTATAACTGTTCCTGACTCATTTTATTAGAATTTCTTAAAAAAAATAATTGTGCTTAATTTATACCTTTTAAACACCTGACCCCTTGTACTCATACTCTTATTTTCTGAAGCTATTGTAAAAGTCAGTATACAGTCATGTCAAACATTTTTATCTTTTTCATTAATTGATACTGGATTTTATTTAATATTTTATCCATTGGCCAGAATTTTTGCAGCAGTGTTCCAGTTTTTGTTAAACATGCCTCTGTGTTCCGTCAACAGGGATGACCCTTGCATATAGGTTTATGATCCACTTTCTAATCATGATAAGGAGCTGTCATACACCTAGTTTTCATTTAAACTGGGTTTAAATTTTATTGAACTTTATTGAACATCTATTGATCATAGTTTATTTGAAATTTTTTTACATTTTTAATAGTATTTTTTAATATTTAATAATCCTTGCATTCCTAAAACTCTACCTTGCCAAAGCGAACTATATGCTTGAAAAAATTGCACCTTTCACCAAGAAAATATGTAAAACAACTGAGCATGTTGTTGTAGGGGACCGATGGTTAGAATTTGCCAGGCACCTTTACTGTCTAAAAGGACAGAGTTTATTTTGTTGATAGGTTTGTTTTATTTTATAGAATTCTGTGGTAGAATACATTATTTAATAGTGTTCTTTTTGAATCACCTTCTTATAAAGTAAGTCCTTTATGCTTGCAAAACTTACTTTTCATTATAGCATTATAATCATGCATTGAAATTTTGTTTTTCTTTGGATGTTCTTGCTGTCTGTCAGTTATTATTGTTTCTGAGATAGTAAATGAGGAAACTATAAATGTTATCATAGAAAGCATTGCCTAATAGATATAAATTATTTTCTTTTCCAGAGATTCCAGACATTTTAAATGCAGGTAATCTGAAAACTTTTAGGTGAGTCTGTCTCTTTTGTTCTTTGAAGCTGCAAGTAAAATACATAAGAGATAAACTTTCTTCCCTTTTGATTCTAGACGTTAGAGCTAAAAGAAAATTAGGAGGTTCTTTTTAACCTTTCCTCTTTCATCAGTTGAAGTAAGAATTTTCCTAAGTTTAGCATTTGTTTGAGATGCCTGATGTACACTGAAATAATGACCTGGTGCTTTTATTTGTTTTTCAAAATACTTTAAAATTCTTTAATGTAGTACTTAAAGAACATGATATCCTTGTTCCTCCCTGGTTGTTATTTTTTAAAAAGATAAATTGTCAGCAGCAGACTTGTTGGCTGAGTCCTGTCCCCATACTGTTTGCAGCACCCCCTTATGGAGAAGGTGGCTAGTGGGAAGTGGTATGGGGAAATGGTTAAATCATAAAGAACCAGTTGCCCCAGTGGTCTCTCTAATAGTGCTGTGTGACCGAGAGACCAGTGAGTAGGATTTCCTGTTTTCAGTTTTCAAACATGGGTTGTCTTTAGAACATAATTTTTATTAATCATTTTGATACTAGCTAGACCATGTTGATCAGTCTGAAATTTTAATTGAAATTAGATACATTTAAGTCCATATTATTTGAAACCCTTAAGCTTATTTTATATTTTTATACTTCTGAGTTCATAGAAAATATTTAATATTCATAAAATATTTGCTCTAATAGAATTGATTGATCATATTTAAGAAGTGGTTCACTTTGTAGCCTAGGTACATGTATTTATAAGTACATGGAGCTTAAGATTGATTATACATTAATTTTTTTTGCCTGTAATGTTAAGAAATCAGATATATAAATGTTCTCTTTATTCCTAAAACAGTGTATGTTCTGCCTCCCCCAAAGAAAGCCAGAAATGAGAAGAAATTAGCCTAGACTGTTAGTATCAGAGTTCAGTTCTCAGAAGAATCTTCACATTGCTTGTAAAGTAATTGAACATAGGATTGTCACAGAAAAGCTGGGGTTGAAGAACTAAAAGTTTTCTATTATAACCAAAAAAATTGTTTGATTACGAAAACAATTGTGATTTACCGTTGTGTGTGAAAAGAAAAACCTTTTCTGACTGTGCATTTTGGAGATTTTCCAGGATGATGTAGTTCCTACTTCAGAGATTCTTGATACCATATATGTCCTAATAGAGGGAAGTGTTTGGATTAGGGAGAATAAAAGAATGGAACGGAGTTTCCTTGTAACTTCTGCCTGATATTTTCCTGCATTGCTTTGGAAATTTTGAATTCTCTGTGCAGTTAACCGCTATTGTAGATTAATGAGAAAGTTCAGTTAAGTATGGAAAAAGCAAACCTCAGTTCTTGGGACATTTTTTTTTCTACTGCATTTATATTGTTTCTTTCTAGTGCATTTGAATCTGCTGTAAATTTGTAAACTTTCTTCTGCTTAGTTTTGAATATTGACTATTACTTCCCTACCTCACCACCCCTCACCACCCCTCTGCATTCTCTCTTTTGTCTAGGGAATGGGATTTTGATCTGAAGAAATTGCCGAACATTAAAATGAGAAAAATCTGTGCTAATGATGCAGTGCCTAAGAAGTGTAAGAAAAAACCTGTGACAGCTGCAGACAGAGATTTAGGAGAATTGGAACTGAAAGATGAATCAAGTGACACAGATGAGGAAATGACTGCAGTGGCCTAATTGTCTTTACTTGAGTTGAAAATAAACAATTTGAGAACTTCAAGTTACACTTGAATTGATTATGATAAATAATTGTCTCTACACAACAATTTGCTGTTTAGCTTATTCTCTTATGAGAATCCCATTTTCAGTTTCAAAAACAGTGTTACGATTTTAACTTAAAAATGAATGTTGCTTTATGTTTACATAAATATGTTCAGACCCTGCTTAAAAACCCAGACCGTTATAAAATCTTAAGAACTCGGGCGGCGCAGTGGTTAGGAATCCGCCTGCCAATGCAGGGGACATGGGTTGGATCCCTGGCTCGGGAAGATCCCACATGCCACAGAGCAGCTAAGCCCATGAGCTACAACTACTGAAGCCCGCGCACCTGGAGCCCATGCTATGCAACAAGAGAAGCCACGGCAATGAGAAGCCCACGCACCGCAACGAAGAGTAGCCCCTGCTCACCGCAACTAGAGAAAGCCCACACACAGCAACGAAGACCCAGCGCAGCCAAAAGTAAAACAGATAAATAAATTTATATATTTAAAAAAAAAAATCTTAAGCACTCAAGGCTGTTTGAATGTTGCAGATACAAATCTGCAGAAATCCAGGTAAGTTAGGCAAAAAATATAGAAACCACAACAAAGGTTTGGATCACTTGTTTAATATACAAAGTCTGTTTTTCACAGGTAATTATTTTCTTTTCCTTAATTTGTCTTAGTACACATTATTCACAAAACAGTAAATCGTTCATGCAAGAGAATTAGGTAAAACCGAAAAAAGTACAAATGCTCAATCCCCCAAATTGCACACAGTTAAAATAATTTTTCCTTGTTTGTTTTAATGCAGTTTCAAATGGGCTTTCTTCGGATGTGGAGGAAACACTGCAGCCCAAAATAACAGTACTTCCTTTCAACTGTATTGACAGGTAAAATAGCACCTTTGGGCTGACTTAAGGAAAGAAAACTGATTTTCATCTTTCCTAATTAAAGTGTAAGTCCTACACAATTATCGTATGACAACTACCATAATGATAATGATAAGTTTTAAGAGCTCTACTTTGTTCCAAAATATTCATTGGCATGGCAAGGAAAGGTAAATTGTGTCAGGCAGATGCAAAAACCTTCCTCCCCACCTCTCCTCCATGACAATTAGAGTATCTTAGTGATGTCATTGTTCTAATGAGCTAGTTTTCCAGCCCAAATAAGTAGATGTTTTAGGGACCTTTTGCAAAACAAGGTAAGTGTGACTATGTGGCCATCTCTCTGGAACTATAATCACATGTAACAGCAGCTCGGAGTGAGAATAGATAGTTTTAGGGACCTTTTGCAAAACAAGATAAATGTAACTATGTGGCCATCTCTGGGACTATAATCACATGTAACAAGCTCGGAGTGAGATTTAATCCAAGGGCATTTTGAAAGACTCCAGAGTATATATATACCTGTCTTCCTTTTATTTCTCCATTGCTTTATATCCCAAGTCAATGGGAACATTTTTGTTTTGTTTGTTTACATTTTGTTTGTACTTAAGTTTAATTGCCCTTTGGGCTTCACTTTAAAAAAAAATACTGGATTTCATTTCTTTACAATTTAATCTTCGATTTTACACAATTAGAGTGACAGTTCTTTAAAAAATCAACAGCATAAATGTATGTTTTCTGGTATTGATAATACCACAGATTCATGATGATAAAAAGCCAAGGTTTTAGCAGAACTGTAAGTTTATTCTTCAATTTCATTCTTTGTTTCAATTCCATTTTATTTCTTACATAAGCAGGTGAGCATGCTTCAAAAAATTGCCATTCCGGAGAGCAGTTTTTCTTTTTGAAGGGTATATCCAGTCCACAAAAGTGTTGTCACAAAGCCAAACCCGGTCATCGAAAGGACAAGTGTACCACTGCTACACAGAACATAAAAGAAAATAACACTAGGTTTTAAATGCACATAGTTACTTCAGATTGTTTGAACTACCAACAGCCATTACAGGAAAACTTTTAAAGATTTAAATTCAGGAGTTCAGTGTTTAAAAAGAATAGCAGAATAATTTTGACTTTTAATGTGTTAGGGAGGTATATTATTTTCTCATTTCAAGAAAGTCAAAGCCTATTCAAGTTCATTTTGAGAATTTACGTATGGTTTTAAAACACCATGTCATTTTTTATCATTAATACAGTAATGCTTATCCTTACTTTTCATTCTAGAATTTCTTAGTGTTCGGTATGCCCGTTAATAAATTATTTATTAAGCCAATCGTCTTCCACTGTGAAATTATGCACTTACCTGTATTGCTAAAGTTTGGACAGAATTTAAATGGTATTTATGGTATAATTCAGGTAAATAATCCTTTTCCTTACAGAGCAAACACAAGAGAAATCAACATTTCTTTGTTTGCTGGTGGCTAGATTTTGTTCCCTCAGGAATATTGTAAACAACGGTTGCCATTGCTAAACCTCAGGAGAAATGGATTAGTAAAATGCTTAGGAAAATTATCAGAAAAGAATGAATCACATTTAATCCCTTGGGTGAGGTGCCATGGTTAAATCCCCTAAAGCTTCATTATCCATGAGTGTATTTATCTTAAACCTTGAAAATGGAAATTTAAGGAGTTAATACAAAGTCCAGGTTGTTTAAGCTTCATATATTTTTAATTACACCACTATGTCTTTATTTGTGCAGAAATTTTGGTCTAGTTTAGTTGCCTCAACTTAGTTTTTCCTGTGCCTTCATTCCGTGCTCCTACAGCAAGTTTTAAGAAAGATGGGTTTTAAACCTTTTGTTTCCTGCCTGACTGAATACCTTGACGTTTTTCTCATGTATATACAGGAACAAACACATGCCACACACACACAAAGTTGATACTGTTGACCTTTGCTTTATTTCTAGGAACTGGGACTATTTGGACTCAGTGTCAGCCACTACTCATATCGAATCAAACTTCTCTTCAGTAAAAGGTTATTTCTCTTTTCTTTCCCTATGGTAACGTGTGAGTTTTGAAAAAGCCCACTGACAATTACAAAGTGCATCAATGTGATACCCAGATTTGTGCAATACGATACCCATGCTTTGGTTCTATGGCCATCACGGTTGCCTTTTCACAATAATAAATACGACAGCTAGCAAAAATAAATCACCTCATTTTATGTAAGACATCTCTCTTTGACAGGCCACACTATATTTATAATCATTAATCTAGCTCACTGCTATGTCATTCACATTTCAGTTTTACATGAATATGCAAAGAATACAATAATCAACTGAACTGTCAAACCTAAACAATTCAATTTATTACTTAGCATAGAATCTGTTGAATATTTTTGCCTCCCCGCTGAGCAAGGGAAATACTGTCAAATACAGTCTAATGCTTGGTCCTAACTACTCATCTGTCAAGTTGACGCCTCATTAAAAAAAAAGGTACGTTTGACTCAACAAAGGTATTAAATTATTTTCCCTATTATAAGTGCTTCACAGTAGCAAATAAGTTAATTTCAGAACTTACCACAGGCAGATTGCTTTGTAGTTTTGTTTTTTCACCCTTTAGAGAAATGGTAACTTCACCTAACTCAATTTGATTAATTTAGTTCTTTGTAAAATAGTATTTGTGATACTTTGAATAAAAGAGTGAATTAAGCTGCTGTTTTGAAAGATTCAATTGTTAAATGAAGCAGAGGCTTTGTCTCTAATTAATTTTAGGGCTGCACTAGCCAATAAGTTTAATTCAAATTGAGCTATGCTGTAAACATACTGGGTTTTGAAGACTTGGTTCATAAAAAGAGCTGTAAAATAACTCAATACTTTTTTTATATTGATGACATTGAAATGATAACTTGGGTATATAGTGTTAAATAAATTCATTTCACCTATTTTTACTTTTTCTAATGGGGCTACTAGAAAATTTAAATTTGCATATGTGGCCTTCATTTGTGGCTATATTTCTGTTGGACAACACTGTTTTAGAGGGTCCAGGTGGAGTATACAAGGCTTCTGTGGGTATAACAGAGCTAATTAAACCCCAAAATCTCTGAAAATCATGATTTAAACATACTTCCAAGTATTAATATCTTGAAATGTATATTGCATCTATTTTAAAAACATGCATCTGTCAAAACAACGGGACTCCACTATAGCCATAAAACCTGTTAGCTGTCAAAGTATGAATATCAAAATATGCATCTTCTGAGTTTGCTTCTGATGTGCCTTAGGGATAATGCAGATAATTCAAGCTTAAAACCAAATGTGTTTGTCATTTCCAGATGAGAGAGTTAACATTACAAGGCCCTACAAGAAAGACACGTTGCAATTCAAGTCCATATTCTTGACCTTGCAATTCAAGTCCATATTCTTGACCTTGCCCTGTTACTGTGAAGACTCATGGGTCTGTCCAGTTAGTCTCTCCTCATTGCCTGAAAGCATCCCTTGCTCCAGCGGTCCTTGTCTCACAAATCATTCTCCAGCCAACTTTTCACATTTTCTCTTCACACTTGAGACTGCTTCATGGGATCCTGATCAATTTGGTGTTTCTTCTCCTTTCTTTTTGAGCAAAGAAAGGACAAATGAGTCAGAAAGAGGAGAGAAGATAATGAGGGTGACTAACTCAGGATCACTTCTGTCACTTGTAGTGGCTGAGGGCCAGGCGATACTCCAGTGACACGCTCCCGGCTGGCCCCATCACACAGGTATGACTTCGGGGGGGCCGCCCTCTGAAGGTGGCAGTGCGTTGGTCCCCGTTTGTAAGGCAGGCACTGCCCCGGCGTCCTTGGCATCCGTGTTCACCGTGCAGGAGCAGTTCTTCTCCAGCCTCTTGGCCGTGTCGGGGCAGTTCTGCACAAAGATCACGCGGTTGTAGGCCTTCAGCCTGCGCCACAGCTGAACGTAGACCTTGCACTGTACGTACATGAAGACCAAACCTCCCGTGAAGCCGATGGCCACCACAACCAGTTTTGTCCAAAATGGCCATTCAAGGACACCTGTGAAATAAAAGAGAGAACATTACCACCAAGTCTTTATTGATGGATTTGGTGATTCTTTTCCTATGGTTCCTTCAAAGGATCATGCCAGCCTGTCAGGAATATATTCTTAACTAGTAAAAATTATAACCTGTTGCTTAATTGCCTTAAATATTCTCGAGGTATTGCCAAAATTGTACATGAAAAAATTCTCTCCCCTACCCCTGTAATGATGTCTCTCATCTCTCTTAGCCATCAAGAACCTACTGTGATCATCAGATACTTACTTCGACATTTCAGCTAAATCTTTAAGGAAGTGAAAGAATCAGACTTTAGGATCCTCTTAAGGTAATGTAATAGGTACATGTGTGGGATTGTACCCATGGGTTCCCTCCCCACCCTCATTACCTTTAAAATTAAAAAAAGAGAAAGAAAGAAGCTGCCACATCTCAGAATTCCTGAGTACAGACATGCATAAGATTTAGAATTTTAGTCACTTGTTTTCTTACCAATCTTATTTTGTTACTGAGAACCATCTCTTTCTTAGACATCAATCAATATTTTCTCTTAATTTCCATCATCTTTCACAAAGAGTCACGAGCATTTCTGTAACTACAACAGTATTTACACCACACATAATTATAAATGTTAAATATATGATGGTCAAGAGACCACCTCTTGCCAACATTAGGATGGTATGGAGGATGTGACAGCTGCCGTCATTCATGTGAGAGACCGTCAAGTAAAAGAGAAGGGCGGGTTGGAAACCACACTTTAGGGAAGTTGGGTTTTACTTACTTGTAACAGTGAATAGAGTTATAAGAAACGTCCTGTCTATATCCCGTCTATATTTTGTAAGAGTGACATTTATGAATACTTTATGCCTCTGGAAGCAAAATGGACCCCTGCCCCGTTTGCCTCACGTTGAAGGGCTTGCCTTGTTCCTTAATCCTGTCTATGCCTGACTCACTGAGCTGGGGGGACCAGCAGCTTACAACTGGGGGTAGTTGTGTGCCCTGGGCCACTGAGCAGTGTCTGGAGATGCCGATCGTTATACCTGGTGTTGGGCGGGTGCTACTGACTTCTTAGTAAGTCCTGTGGTGCTGCTTTGCCAGCATCCCGCAATGTGTAGGACAGCAAGGAGTTAACCTAGTCCAAAATGCCAATAGTGCTGAGCTTGAGAAACCCTGTTGCAGAAAATGATCACGTTTCTTTATTTAGAAATTTAGGATTTTTGCTCTCAGCTGTTCAATTGAGCACTAGTGTCTCCTTGTTTAGAAGGATGTTAACCACAGACAAGCTGAAGTGTGTTTTTGTCTCCCATTTTTAGGGAAATCCCCATGGATTACATCTCATTTTCCCCTGAAATGTGTTTTGTCTCCCATTTTTAGGGAAATCCCCATGGATTACATCTCATTTTCCCCTCTGATTCCTAAATGACACTACCACCTGTGCCCTGGAAGTGCCTGGAGATTCTCTCCTTCCAAGCCTCTGCCCATGATATTTCTTCTCTCAGAATTTTGCTTCTCTATTTCTGAATGTCTACCTGTCCCACAAAACCTGACTCAGAAATAATTTCCAGCTGGGAATAAGCGTTCTCACTCTTCCAGTTTCATGGTATTTTTACACCTGTGGCATGAGTCGCTCTCTGACATAAGTTATTTGTTCTCTGCTGTGCCATAACCTTGACAGTGCAGGATCTACGTCTGGTTGGTCTTTGTTTTCCACGCTGCCTTGCTCAGTGGACATTTTAAGGATGAAGGAAAGCTTTTAATATATATAAAGCTTTGATATATGTCTTTCTCTCTCTGACTGACTTCACTCAGTATGACAACCTCTAGGTCCATCCATGTTGCTGCAAATGGCATTATTCTTTTTTACGGCTAATATTCTATTGTATATATGTACCACTTCTTTATCCATTCCTCTGTTGACGGACATTTAGGTTGCTTCCATGTCTTGGCTATTGTAAATAGTGCTGCTGTGAACATTGGGGTGCATGTGTCTTTTTGAATTATGGTTTGGGCAGGATTGGGACTGCTGGATCATATGGTAGTTCTATATTTAGTTTTTTAAGGATCCTCCATACTGTTCTCCATAATGGTTGTAACAATTTACATTCCCACCAACAGTGCAAGACGGTTCCTTTTCTTCACACCCTCGCCAGCATTTGTTGTTTGTAGACTTTTTGATGATGGCCATTCTGACTGGTGTGGCCATTCTGACTGGTGTGAGGTGATACCTCAGTGTAGTTTTGATTTGCATTTCTCTAATGATCAGTGATGTTGAGCGTTCTTTCATGTGTTTGTTGGCAATCCGTATATCTTCGGAGAAATTTCTATTTAGGTCTGCTGCCAATTTTGGATTGGGTTGTATGTTTTTTTGATATTGAGCTGAATGAGCTGCTTGTAAATTCTGAAGATTAATCTTTTGTCAGTTGCTTCATTTGCAAATGTTTTCTCCCATTCTGGGCTTTTAGTCTTGTTTACAGTTTCCTTTACTGTGCAAAAGCTTTGAAGTTTGATTAGGTCTCATCCGTTTATTTTTGTTTCATTTCCATTTCTCTAGGAGCTGGGTCAAAAAGGATCTTGCTGTGATTTATGTCATAGAGTGTTCTGCCTATGTTTTCCTCTGCGAGTTTGATAGTTCTTTCACACGTAGCTGTCCAGTTTTCCCAGCACCACTTATTGGAGGCTGTATTTTCTGCACTGTATATTCTTGACTCCTTTATCAAAGATAAGGTGACCATATGTGCTTCGGTTTATCTCTGGGCTTTCTCCTGTTGCATTGACCTACATTTCTGTTTTTCTGCCAGTACCATATTGTCTTGATTACTGTAGCTTTGTAGTATAGTCTGAAGTCCATGAGCCTGATTCCTCCAGCTCCATTTTTCTTTCTCAAGATTGCTTTGGCTATTCAGGGTCTTTTGTGTTTAAATTGTGAATTTTTTTTGTTCTAGTTCTGTGAAAAATGTCATTGGTAGTTTGATAGGGATTGCACTGAATCTGTAGATTGCTTTGGGTAGTATAGTCATCTTCCAATCCAAGAACATGGATATCTCTCCATCTCTGATTCCTAAATGACACTACCACCTGTGCCCTGGAAGTGCCTGGAGATTCTCTCCTTCCAAGCCTCTGCCCATGATATTTCTTCTCTCAGAATTTTGCTTCTCTATTTCTGAATGTCTACCTGTCCCACAAAACCTGACTCAGAAATAATTTCCAGCTGGGAATAAGCGTTCTCACTCTTCCAGTTTCATGGTATTTTTACACCTGTGGCATGAGTCGCTCTCTGACATAAGTTATTTGTTCTCTGCTGTGCCATAACCTTGACAGTGCAGGATCTACGTCTGGTTGGTCTTTGTTTTCCACGCTGCCTTGCTCAGTGGACATTTTAAGGATGAAGGAAAGCTTTTAATATATATAAAGCTTTGATATATGTCTTTCTCTCTCTGACTGACTTCACTCAGTATGACAACCTCTAGGTCCATCCATGTTGCTGCAAATGGCATTATTCTTTTTTACGGCTAATATTCTATTGTATATATGTACCACTTCTTTATCCATTCCTCTGTTGACGGACATTTAGGTTGCTTCCATGTCTTGGCTATTGTAAATAGTGCTGCTGTGAACATTGGGGTGCATGTGTCTTTTTGAATTATGGTTTGGGCAGGATTGGGACTGCTGGATCATATGGTAGTTCTATATTTAGTTTTTTAAGGATCCTCCATACTGTTCTCCATAATGGTTGTAACAATTTACATTCCCACCAACAGTGCAAGACGGTTCCTTTTCTTCACACCCTCGCCAGCATTTGTTGTTTGTAGACTTTTTGATGATGGCCATTCTGACTGGTGTGGCCATTCTGACTGGTGTGAGGTGATACCTCAGTGTAGTTTTGATTTGCATTTCTCTAATGATCAGTGATGTTGAGCGTTCTTTCATGTGTTTGTTGGCAATCCGTATATCTTCGGAGAAATTTCTATTTAGGTCTGCTGCCAATTTTGGATTGGGTTGTATGTTTTTTTGATATTGAGCTGAATGAGCTGCTTGTAAATTCTGAAGATTAATCTTTTGTCAGTTGCTTCATTTGCAAATGTTTTCTCCCATTCTGGGCTTTTAGTCTTGTTTACAGTTTCCTTTACTGTGCAAAAGCTTTGAAGTTTGATTAGGTCTCATCCGTTTATTTTTGTTTCATTTCCATTTCTCTAGGAGCTGGGTCAAAAAGGATCTTGCTGTGATTTATGTCATAGAGTGTTCTGCCTATGTTTTCCTCTGCGAGTTTGATAGTTCTTTCACACGTAGCTGTCCAGTTTTCCCAGCACCACTTATTGGAGGCTGTATTTTCTGCACTGTATATTCTTGACTCCTTTATCAAAGATAAGGTGACCATATGTGCTTCGGTTTATCTCTGGGCTTTCTCCTGTTGCATTGACCTACATTTCTGTTTTTCTGCCAGTACCATATTGTCTTGATTACTGTAGCTTTGTAGTATAGTCTGAAGTCCATGAGCCTGATTCCTCCAGCTCCATTTTTCTTTCTCAAGATTGCTTTGGCTATTCAGGGTCTTTTGTGTTTAAATTGTGAATTTTTTTTGTTCTAGTTCTGTGAAAAATGTCATTGGTAGTTTGATAGGGATTGCACTGAATCTGTAGATTGCTTTGGGTAGTATAGTCATCTTCCAATCCAAGAACATGGATATCTCTCCATCTATTTGTATCATCTTTAATTTCTTTCATCAGTGTCTTATAATTTTCTGCATACAGGTCTTTCGTCTCCTTAGGTAGGTTTATTCCTAGATATTTTATTCTTTTTGTTGCAATGGTAAATGGGAGTGTTTTCTTGATTTCACTTTCAGATTTTTCATCATTAGTGTATAGGAATGCCAGAGATTTCAGTGCATTAATTTTGTATCCTGCTACTTTACCAAATTCATTGATTAGCTCTAGTAGTTTTCTGGTAGCATCTTTAGGATTCTCTATGTATAGTATCATGTCATCTGCAAACAGTGACAGCTTTACTTCTTCTTTCCGATTTGGATTCCTTTTATTTCCTTTTCTTCTCTGATTGCTGTGGCTAAAACTTCCAAAACTATGTGGAATAATAGTGGGGAGAATGGGCGGGCAACCTTGTCTTGTTCCTGATCTTAGTGGAAATGGTTTCAGTTTTTCACCATTGAGAATGAAGTTGGCGGTGGGTTTGTCATATATGGCCTTTATTATGTTGAGGTAAGTTCCCTCTATGCCTACTTTCTGGAGGGTTTTTTATCATAAAACTGTGTTGCATTTTGTCAAAAGCCTTTTCTATTGAAATGATCATATGGTTTTTCACCTTCATTTGTTAATATGG